ACAGCCAAAACTGAATCTTTTAATTCAGCACATCAGGCACTGGTGGCTGACGCCTTGTAATCCTAGCTATTCAGGAGAATAAGCTCTGTGGATCCCAGTTCAAAGCCAGTCTGGGCAGGAAAGACCAAGAGACTCTTATCTTCAATTAACAAGCAAAAAGCTGGAAGTAGAGGTATGGTTCAAATGGTAGAGCAGCAGCCTTGAGTGGAAAAGTCAAGTGAAAGTTGAAGAACATGAGTTCCAAGCTCTGGTACATATACATACACACTATATGTATATGTGACCTATCAGGATACAGTCCCTTAGTACAAGTAACCTGTTAGGCTTGGACACCAGTGGAAGGGGAAGGTAAATGCCGAGGGTAAAGGAGGGTGAATGTGGTCCAATGACCTTTTTTGCATATATGCAAATTGAACAGTGAATCCTGTTCACATTGTCTTAAGAAGTGTTGGGGAGGAAATACAGGAGGGTGGCAGAAGGGGGGAGGTTGGTAGAGTGTACTCTATGCTTATAAGGAAATGTCACAACTAAACCTATCACAAACAGCTAATGTATACGAGTAAAAATCTTTGAAAATCTCTGTACACTCAGACTTGATAGTGTTTGGAAATCACGATGATAGACTTTCATACAGAAAAACTAACATGCAAGATCTAGATTTCCCTACAGTGCACACAGGGAAAAACAGGATTTGGAGAGGAGAATTAAAAAGATGTTTGCCAGCATGAAATGCCCACTGACCTCAAATCCAAACCATGGAATAAGAGAAATGAAACTGGCCAAAGGTAAAATCGATGGCTCTGCACTCTTAGTGCATGATTCATTATACAACCCAGTCGCATGTTGAGTTATTTATGTGGGCAGAGTATCACATTATTGGCTCTCCCCACACCTCCTCCTCCCCTCTTTCTTGCTGATACACACACAGAAACTCTTTTGGTAATCATCGATGTCTTTATTATTTTGTTTTTGTCTTGATGCCAGTTCTGGGGCTTGAACACGGGACCTCTTGCTCTTGCCTAGCTTTTTCTGCTTAATGCTGCTCTACCCCTTGAGCTACATCTCCACTTGTGGGTTTTTACTGGTTAATTGGAGATAACAGAGTCTCACAGACTTTACCCCAGGCTATCTTAGAACTGTGATCCTCAGATCTCAGCCTCCTGAGTATCTAGAAGTATACGAATGAGCCATCAGTGCCCAGCTTTCCTAGTTATTTCTAGGGTAGGGTCCCATTTTCTACTTTGTACATGCCTGAGCCAAGATCTGCCTCCTTCAGGCTTTCAGTTTTCTCTGGAATAAGAACATGCTGCCAGGCCCAGCTTCCCATTCATGGAGACATAGTATGTATGCTCAGGCTTCCCTGGTACCATGATCTTCCCAATATCAGCCTACCATGCAGCTGGGGCTGAGAGGAGTGATGTAGGTAAAGAAGAGGGCTCACAACTATTCCGCTTGGGCTAGCCTTGGACTGCGATCCTCCATTTCTCAGTTTCCCAGGATTACGGGGGTAAGCCACCTATACCAAGCCATACTTTTCTTTCTCTTTCTTCTTTTTCTTTTCTCTATTTTTTTTTGGGGGTCCGGTCATGGGGCCTGAACTCTGAGCCTGGACACTGTCCCTCAGCTCTTCAGCTCAAGGCTAGCACTCTACCACTTGAGCCACAGCGCCACTTCCGGCTTTTTTTTTCTGTTTATGTGGTGCTGAGGAATCGAACCCAAGGCCTCATGCATGCAAGGCAAGCGCTCTACCACTGAGCCACCTTCCCAGCCCTCTTTTCTCTATTTTTTTACCTCCTTCTTTTCTTCATTCCCTCCTTCCTTCCCTTCCTTTCTCCTTCTCTCCCTCCTCTCTTTTTTCCTTTGTTCCTTCCTTTCCCTCCCTCCCTTTTCTTTCTCTCTCCCTCCCTTATTCCCTCCCTCCCTCCTTCTTTCCCCCATTCTTTCTTTCTTTCCCTCCCTCCCTTCCTTCTTTCCTTCCTTCCTTCCTTTCTTTCTTTCTTCTTCCTTTCTTTCTTCTTTTCTTCTTTTCTGTGTGCTGCTGCTCCTGGGGCTTGAACTCAGGTCCTGGGTACTGTCCCTGAGCTTATTTGCTAAAGGCTAGTCCTCTACCACTTGAGCCACACCTCCACTTCTGGCTTTTTATGGTGATTAATTGGATATTTTCTTGCCCAGGCTGGCTTGGAACCACCATCCTTAGGTCTGAGCCTCCTGAGTAGCTAGGAGACAGGCACAAAGAACTGGTGCTTGGCTCATTTTCAGTTTTTGAAAGAATCTTGCCATTGGTTGTTGAGTAACCTTTTAATTTCTAATTTATCCATGTAGTTCTGATATTTGCAAATATTTTCATTTAGCAGCTTTCTGGATTCTTTCCCCACCTAGCTTTCTTATTCCTGTCTTTCTTCTTCTTAATGTTTGTTCTGATCAGCCCCCCCCCCCACCTCCCCTGCACTGCTGTAAACAATCCACAGGGTTTTAGTAATCCTGTGGGTGCCAGTTAACACAAGTTTATGTGCCTTGAAAGGCTTGGACCAATAGAGCCCATAAAGAAAGCAAAACACAGGCCAGAAAGCAGCGGAGCCACTGCTACCTCTGTGTTCTTAGTGCGGCATTCTGCGCTCTCCAGCCAGCTGTGCAGCAAAGAGCAGAATGGGTCCTGCTTGCTCTTTGTTAATTATTGTACAGTGTTGACAGACTTTATCATGTCCATGCACCATGTCTTGGCTAAGGTATTTATTTATTTATTTAACTTATTCTGTGTGTGTTGGTGAGTATTGGGGTTTGAACTCAAGGCCTCACACTCTTGGTTAGGCTTTTCCTCTCAAGGCTGACACTCTACTACTTGAGCCATACCTTCCACTCCTGGCTTTTTTAATTGGAGATAAGAATCTTGGGGATTTGTCTACCTAGGCTGGCTTCAAACCTTGATCCTCAGAGCTTAGCCTCCTGAGTAGCTAGGATTACAGGCACGAGCCACCAGTGCCCTGAGCCAAATAATTTCAGTCGATGGTTGGAATGTTCCTGTATTTTTCACTTATTGACTCATGGATGTACTTATTGTGAAGAATGTTAATGGTTATTTCACTTTTTCACTAACTTTGACAATGGATGACAGGGACAGCACATATAGAAGCTGAATTGTTTCAATACTCATTTGCTCCGTGTATGCCTAGGCTTGCTGGCAAATACTTGTAGCCTAATTCCTAACATAGCCACTCATTGTTAGATTAATTGCCTCTTATTCTTCTTTTGCATGAACACTGGAGAAATGTTTTGGGCGGGGCAGTAGTGATAACCAGTGTTTGAACCCTGCACCTTGTGCTTGCTAGACAAGTGCTCTGCCACTTGAGCCATGACCCTAGTCCTTTATGCTTTAGTTATTTTTCATGTCGGGTCTCACATTTGTACGCAGGCTGGCTTGGACCACGATCCTCCTACTTCTACTCAGTAGCTGGGATGACAAGTGCCCACTCAACTATTTTGTTGAGACTGGGTTTTGCTGTTTGCTCAGGTTGTTCTTGATCTCTGCCTTCTTAGTAAATGGAATTATAGGCATGAGCCACTACACCCGGCCTGGCTAATGGTTTTGTCATGAATCAGTGCTTTCCAGCTTTATTCATGTGTGTAATAGGCAGTAATGGTGTAAATAAGGGACACTGAAGTAAATGGTTTGACAGCCTAGTGGCTTAAAGGTTAAGGGGGACCTGTACGCTCCTTCATAGGTGAGCCTTGTGTACATAGTAGGAAGCTGGGGTATGCTATATTGTAGCCATCCTGCACTCCTGATTTCTGTAGCATCTTCTGAAGACATTAAGAATTTCAGTGTGTGTGTTGGGTGGGGGAGGGGGGCTGGGAAGGTGGCTCAGTGGTAAAGCGCTTGCCTTGCATGCATGAGGCCCTGGGTTCGATTCCTCAGCACCACATAAGTAAAAAAGAAAAAAGCCGGAAGTGGTGCTGTGGCTCAGGTGGTAGAGTGCTAGCCTTGAGCTGAAGAGCTGAAGGACAGCGCCCAGAGTGCAAACCCCACAACCGGACCCCCCCCCAAAAAAAGAATTTCAGTGATCATCAGGGTTCTGTTTGTACACTACAAAATTGCAGTGTTCCCTTCCTCAGCAACCTGAATGCAGAATAGGAAAAGAAGAAGAAACTAGAGGGGCGTTGGCTGGATGGGTGACTTAAGCCTCTCTGTTGTTCTGCTTCTAAATGCTCCAGCTCTGCGAGTCTTGTTCTCCATCTTCTGTACACGCATCACTGTCTCCTATGCTTACAACAACCAGATGCCCTTATGTAGATCGGCTTCAGAGCACTTTCAAAATGTCTAAATGCAGCCAGACACTGGTGGCTGGCTCACGTCTGTAATCTTAGCTACTCAGGAGGCTGAGATTGGAGGATCATGGTTTCAAGACAGCCCAGCCAGGAAAGTCCATGAGACTCTAATCTTCAATTAACCACCAAAAAGTCAGAAGTGGCGGATTAGCTGAAGTGATAGAATGCCAGTCTTGAGCTCAAAAGTCAAGTGAGAATCCGAGGTCGTGAGTTCAAGCTCCAGTACGGGTGTGCATACACACACATGCGTGTGCACGCACATACACACACACATAAGACAGGACATCTCATATAGAGAAATATGTTGTTAGCTCTAAGAACAAAAGATGAATATACCATGTGCCAGTGCCTCATACGTCTAATCATGATCTAGAGGATCACATTTTAAAGCCAGTCTGAGCAGAAACATCTGAGAGACTTCATCTTCCAAGTTACCAGCAAAAAGCTAGTCTGGAGGTGTGTGGTTCATGTGGTAGAGTGCCAGCTGAGCAAGCAAGCCGAGCAAGTGTGAAGCCCTGAGTTCAGATGTATGGGTCCAAAAGTGAAAACAACTTGTTGCTGTGTGGCAGGTGTCCAACTGCAGACCAGTGTGAGTTCTTTGTGAGAATTTGCGCACCAAGCTGGTGGTGTTACTCTCACCTAGCAAACCCTTTCCTCTTCCAACCCTCTTTCCACAGAGTAACCTGATCCACTACCTGGGGCTGAGCCATCATCTGATTGCCCTGAATTTCATCATCATTTCTTTTGGCAAGAAAAATGCGCTGTCATCTGCCCAGGTGAAGGTGAGGGACACTGCCTTCGATGGTGTGGAAGTCCGGGTGTTTGAAGGGTCGCCAAAGCCGGACGAGCCCCTGAGACGGAGCATCGTTTACATCCATGGAGGAGGCTGGGCCTTGGCCAGTGCCAGTACGTCCCTGCCAGCTTCACCTGGTTTGCTTTGGGGGTGGCAGTGGGTAGATCAAATGGGCAGGAAGAGACGGTTCATTTGGTGCTCAGTGAGTGTCCACTTATCTTAATTGCCCAGGCCACCAGTGATAACACCTCTTTATCAATCTTTAAAGGGTCCCATTTTATTTTTTATAATTATGTATGCATGTATTTAGTGTTGGTCCTAAGGCTTGAACTCGGGACCTGGGGCACTGTCCCTAAGTGTTTTTGCTGAAGACAAACTCTCTACCATTTGAGCCACAGTTCCACTTTTTTTTTCTTTGCTGGTTAATTGGAGAGAAGAGTTTCATGGACTTTCCTGCGTAGGCTGGCTTTGAACCTCAGATCTCAGCCCCCTGAGTAGCTAGGATTATAGGTATGAGCCATCGGCACCCAACCTGGTTTGTTTCTTAATACAGACTTTTGAAAATGCTTCCTGTGATCCAAATTATAGCCTTATTTGTTAAGTGTCCATAAGAGTGTTAAAGTCAGGTTTCACTGATTGTGAGAGAATTCACTTCACTTCTCTTGTCCTGACATCTACATACTACAAGAGCTACCTCTTGATACACATTAGCAACATTTGTATCAGCCTATGATACCAAAAATTAAAATGTACAACTATACAACTATTAAAAAGAGATACTCTTCCACTCAGGAGGCTGAGATCTGTGTATTGTGGTTGTAAGCCAGTCCAGACAGGAAACTCCATGAGACTCTTCTACTCTACTACTCAGAAAAAGCCAGAAATGGTGCTGTGGCTCAAGTGGTAGAATACTAGTCTTGAGCAGAAGAAGTTCAGGGACAGTGTCCAGGCCCAGAGTTCAGGCTGGCAAAAAATAAAAAAAGACATTCTTGCCAAAGAAGGATATTTTCTTTGGAGCTGAATCCTTTTCCTGAGTAGAATGGAATCAGAATGGCAGGTTACCAAACAAAACACTCTCAGGCATAAAACCTGTTTCATATGATTTTTTTTTTTTTGGCAGTATTGGGTATTGAACTCCGAGCCTCATGATTTTAAGTAGATACTCTCTACCACTCGAGCCATTCCTGTAGCCTTATGTAATTTTTTTGGAAAGGGGTGTCCTCAAAGTTGCTAATCAGGCACTATAACCACTGAACCATGCCTTTAGCCCTGATTTTTCCTTGCTATTTTCAAGTAAGGTCTCCTTCGCTGCTCAGGTGAATGTCTGAGCATGGCCCATCTATGTAGAAAGGCTCTCTGGTAGTTAGGGTAATAGGCACATACCACCACACCCAGTCATTAGTTGAGAAGGGCTCTCTTGATTTCTATTTATTTATATTTTTTGCACTGAACCATGATTCTGATTATTTTAGCCTCCTAAGTAGCTAGGATCGCAGGAGCAAACCCTCAGCACTGGGCTCTTTTTATTTTTTTCTTTTTCTTTTTATTTGTCCTGGCCCTTGAACTCAGGATTTGGGCCCTGTCCCTGAGATGCTTTTGCTCAAGCCTAGCACTCCACCACTTGAGCCACAGCTCCATTTCTGGTTTTAGGTGGTTAATTATAGACGAGAGTCTCAAGAGTCTCCTTTCCAGGCTGGCTTCAAACCTTGATCCTCAGATCTAGACCTCCTGAGTAGCTAGAATTACAGGTATGAGCCACTGATGCTGGCTCTAATTTTTTTTGTTGTTGTTGTTGGTCGTGGGGCTTGAACTCTGGGCCTGGGCACTGTCCCTCAGCTCTTCAGCTCAAGGTGAGCGCTCTACCACTTGAGCTACAGCGCCACTTCCAGTTTTCTGGTGGTTTATTGGAGAT